CTGAGCCACCCAGGCGCCCCAATAGCACACTTTTTTTTAATCTCTTTTAGTAACAAAATCTTTTCAGTTATCTATTATTCAGTTTTTTTGTTTGATGAAGACTTCCCTATTCTAGGCCATATTAACAATGAAAAAAGCTGAATTTATGATCGAATTATAGCTCTTGCTGAATTCATAAAATGAGTTTGGGTTGACAGTTAAGGATTGGGCTTTAAAAAATTTTTTTTAGAAGGAGGGTTTTTTTTTTTTAAAGATTTTTATTTATTTATTTGAGAGAGAGAGAATGAGAGACAGAGAGCACGAGAGGGAAGAGGGTCAGAGGGAGAAGCAGACCCCCCGCTGAGCAGGGAGCCCGATGTGGGACTCGATCCGGGGACTCCAGGATCATGACCTGAGCCGAAGGCAGCCGCCCAACCAACTGAGCCACCCAGGCGCCCTTAGAAGGAGTTTTTAACACCTTATTCTGCAGTGAGGATGCTGAGACTGAGCAAATAGGTAGCAAAACATTAAACCATTATAAAATGGTAAGTGGCAAACCACTGAACAGGAACAGACTGCATGAGCAGGGCTGGCACTCAGATCTCCTCTAGGGTCCTTATTACTATTAAGTGTTGTCTCCCTCACAGTTTGTTTAAATAAATAAAGATAAAGGCGGTTAAGAAAATTGTCATTGAGTTCAGCTATTCCTCTCTTTAACACAAATGCTGTTTAATTGTCCAACTCTAGAGTTCAAATCTAAATCTTCTTGGATCAGTGAATTGAACTAAGCACCTACACATATAAAGAGCATTGTTGACTTTAGAGAACTAAAACCATGATGTTCCTTATTACTAGAGAGTGTTGGACCAGGGATTACAAAACCTGAATTCTAGTCTCAGTTCTGCTAAGTAAATTAGTTAAAAAAATGAAACAAATTTTATCTCTTTGAGCCAGTACTCACCATCTATAAGATGAGTATGACAATATGGCATCCAAAGCCCCTTCTAGGACTTTAGTTGGCAGATCTATGAAACCTGAAGGTAGAGAAAGAGGGGTGTGGGAGAGATTGGTGTCTCCTTTTTGTACCCTGAGGAGTTTGCATTAATCAGCTACATTTCTCATGTTATTCCCCTACCTGAAAGCCTGCCAATTGCCCTTTCCTGTCCAAAAAGCCCTCCTTATTTTAAGGCCTAGGTTACATTTCACTTCCTCTATGAAGTCACTTTAACACACATTGTTTCTCTTTTCTGAACTCATTGATTGTCCTTACATCTCACTCATCTGTTAATCATGGTACATTCCTGTGGAATATGCCTTCCTCTTATACCTATCTCTAGAGAGTAGATTAATGTAAAACAAAAAATAGAGACTTTGAAGATAAATTGATTTAGCTGTGTGATCTTAGGTCAGCCCCTTTTTAAAAATACATGTTTAATTTTTTAAATAGGTAGAACATTTTTGAATAGGTAAAATTTTTTTCAAACTTAAGAAAAAGGGGAGGTGCAGTGAAAAGTGTACCTCAGGTCTACCACCAAGGTAATCTTTCCCCTACTGTTATTAGTTTCTTATATAATCTGCTAGAGTTTTTAAGAAATAAAACCTTTATTTATTTATTTATTTTTAAGATTTATTTATTTGTCAGAGAGAGAGAGCATGCACAAGCAGGGGGAGTGGCAGGCAGAGGGAGAAGCAGACTCCCTGCTGATCAAGGAGCCCAATGTGGGGTTTGATCCCAGGACCCTGGGATCATGATCTGAGCCGAAGGCAGAGGCTTAATGACTGAGCCACCCAGATGCCCCTCTGCTAGAGTTTCTTATTTTTTCTTTCTTTTTTTTTTTAAAGATTTTATTTATTTGACAGAGAGAGACATAGCGAGAGAGGGAACACAAGCAGGGGGAGTGGGAGAGGGAGAAGCAGGCTTCCTGCGGAGAAGGGAGCCTGATGTGGTGCTAGATCCCAGGACCCTGGGATCATTACCTGAGCCGGCAGCAGACACTTAACGACTGAGCCACCCGGGTGCCCTCTTTCTTTTTCTTTTATATAAAAGATGGCACACTAAACAATCTTAAGCGTATTGCTTTTTTCACTTAACTTATCTTGGAGATCTTTTCATACCACCACACAGTGAGCTTCCTTATTGTTCTTAATGTTTTATGAATGCATCATAATTTAACCAGTGGTTAGGAATTTTTAGTTGATTAAAGTCCTAAATGATTTCAGATTTGAATGACCTTTGAGCCTTAGCTGAGAAAATTGCTCCTTATTTCTCCAAACTCATATTTCTATAGTACATTACAGGTTTTAAGCACTTTACGTTCTTGCAGTTGATCCTCACAAAACCTCTTTGGAAGAAGATAATTACTCCATAAGTTGTACTAGGTAAATAGAGAAAGGAAATATCTATTTAGGTTTTTGTCGACTGTGGTGCAGGATTCTTCAGCAAGAGCTCTACCGCGCTCTTTTCATGTGCTCTGCTATTGGCAAATAGAGATTTTGCTTGAGAAACACAGCCTGCTTTGTAGGGGTTGATAAAAGTCTTCATTACTTCATTTATAACCATTTGTGAATTTACTTCCTTTACTTTACTTACTTCCTTAAAACCAGTAGAGCATGTAGAAAAGGATCTCCACATAAATGAAGCTTTGAGAAACAAAACAAATATAAAGAGAAGATATGCAAATATTCTTTTTATAGGTTACTTTTTTTAATCTTAAAAAATCCTAACTGAAGTATGTATATGCAGGAAAAAGTGGCATTGAAAGTTTCATTGAGATGAATGTGGTTCTTTAAGTGATTAAATGTGTAGGGCTGAGAAAAGTAGGGAGTATTTTAACCTGGGATTTAACGTCTGGTAAGATTCTCTTAAAGCAAGTACAGCCTGAGCTATGTAATTGACCTGTTTAGAATGCACAAATGAAATGGGAGGGGTTTAAGTTTTACTCTAAAATTTTCATTTAATATAAAATGAGATTGGTACTCACAGACCCCCCCCAGACTGCTAATTGAACTGCCTGAGTGTTAAAGTATGCACTCAGGTTATGCCAAAACCAGTAATGCTTTATATACGGAATGCAAATCTGAGATATTTTTGCAATTAATTTTTCTCCTATTTCTAAACCAGGCCCTTGATTTCTTTTCTGCTTTTATGTTTATGTTCTTTTAGATTCATGCTGAAAACTTAGCCCAGTATCCTAGAATTTTAGAGATATTTGGACACTTAGAGATTGCTAATTAATATTTAGTACCTTTGTATATTAACTTGGCCCTTTGTATTGAACCAAGTGAGAACACCGGAGCCCAGAGAGGTGTGATTGGCCCTGGTCAGTCACTTTGTCCAGAACCTTCGGCTGCAGCTGCCCAGTTCCATGTTCTTTCCCTTACAGCTCTAACTGACTGACACTGCTCTACTTGGGGAGAAGTTTAATTTTGAAAACATCCTCTTGGTCCTTCCCCACTTTTTTCTTTCTAACGTGGGCCAAGTAATAAAAAATTGTAAGGAATATTATAGTCACAGATACTTAAGCATTTTTTTTAAGTATAGTTGACACACGGTGTACATTAGTTTCAGGTGTACAACATAGTGATTCAACTTCTCTATACGTTATGCTGTGCTCACCACAAGGATAGCTACCGTCTGTCACCAGTGTTATTACAGTCTCATGGACTGAGTTCCCTATGTCGTTCCCTTTATTCCTGTGTAGAGTCACAGATCTTGCATGGAGCCAGCTCATTGTAGGCATGTAAAAGAGACTTGTTTGAAGTGAACCAGAACTGGGGAGGGACTGAGGTAACAACCAAGTGAGGAGCAGGCAGCCAAGCAGTACTCACCCCATATTTGTTAGCTTATTCTCCATCTTTCTCTCCCTAGGGCAGGGAGCAGCCAGTTGTGTTCAGACAGTGAAGCTGCCATGTGTTGGTGAGCGGATGCCTTTAAACTACTTTCTTATTGCTTCTCGGCCTTTTGGCTAAGATCAAGTGTAGTATCTGTTCTTATCAGTTTAATATCTGATACGTCCTCTATCTGAGGACAATATAGTAAATGGATTTTTGGAGCCGGGAGATGGAATAGGAGCTTGCTCCGTCCACTCCGCACATCGACCTGGTTATTGCAGTACTTCCAGGAATGGTGCACCCCCAATTTAAAAAAAATAAAATAAACTACTTTCTTTCCCCCTTAGGTCCTTTCCCATAACCTGTGCACGGTGCTGAAGGTTCCACATGACCCTGTTGCCCTTGAAGAGCACTTCAGGGATGATGATGAGGGGCCCGTCTCCAATCAGGGCTACATGCCATATTTAAACAAGTTCATTTTGGAAAAGGTATGCTTCTAATGTCTTCTTGCTTACAGCGTTGTTTGATTTGCACATTTCAAGTGGGCCCCAGAGCCCCTTGCTGGTGAGTTCACTAAGGAGTTCAGGTGTGAGGCATCAGGAGGATAAATCAGAAAGGAAAGAAAGAAATGGGAGACTGACATTTCCTATTTCTTCCTCTTCTCCACAGTCTTCTAAAACTTGGTTTGGTATTTTACAACTTGGCTCATTTTTTGAAATTAAGAGCTGTATTTTGTATTAGTCTATAATGTCTTCTCAGAGTGCTTTTTTTTTTCTTTTTAAATTCTGTTCCACATGTACTGGCAATGATTGTTAAAGCATGGGTATGTTAGGGTAAGATGTGAATACCAAAGGTGATGTTAATTATCTTTACTAAATAGCTGTTGTACAGCAAAGTTTTCATCATGGACTTTTAGGGTACCACTCAGATGCTTCCTCTGGGGTATATTATGAGTAAAGATGCTGCAAAAACCTATTTTGTGTTTGGAAGCCAAATATAACCTATTGGCATTGCTGCCATGTTCAGTTTCTCTTTTGGTTTGGATAACTAAAAATTGACAAATTTAATGTACTTCTATTTCTTTTTAGAAGAAAATAATCTAAACTGATGGCGCCTTCAAATAATTTAAAAAATTGGTCATTAAAAATTATGAAAGTGGGGCGCCTGGGTGGCTCAGTTGGTTAAGCGACTGCCTTTGGCTCAGGTCATGATCCTGGAGTCCCGGGATCGAGTCCCGCATCGGGCTCCCTGCTCGGCGGGGAGTCTGCTTCTCCCTCTGACCCTCCTCCCTCTCATGCTCTCTGTCTCTCTCTCATTGTCTCTCTCGCAAATAAATAAAATCTTAAAAAAAAAAAATTATGAAAGTTTGCATATGCTTATTAAATAGGCAATTAATACAAAAATAGATGAAATAGTGAATGTCTCTTTACTCTTCTAGTCTCACTCTCTAGGAGTAACCACTCTTAACAGTTTGGTGAATATCTTTGCAGATCTTTTTAAATGTGTACATGCAGGCACACCTCTACATAATACATAGTGTTTTGTTTCCATATTAAGATCATGCTATATATAAAGTTCTTCAAATTGTTTTTTTAACCGAATGATATATTGGTGTCATTTTTCCATTTTGTGTACACTTAGTTTAGATATGAAAGTAATCATGTATTCACATGAATGGCTGAGAAATTCCTGCTTTTGCCTATTTCTAACACCAAGCATGAAACTTTTGGATATATTTTAAAAATGCCTTTCAAAAGTGACAATGATAATACTTTAAAATTAAAAGTAAAATACATTTAGGGGCACCTGGCTGGCTAAGTCAGAGGAGCATGTGACTCTTGATCTTGGGGTTGTGGGTTTGAGCCCCACGTTGGGTGTAGAGATGACTTATATAAATAAGCTTAAAAAAACATTTAAAAACTATATTATTCCATCACCTAAATACCACCACAACTATTTACATACTTTTTTCTATGGATTCTTTGGATTTTTATTGCTGTATATGTATACATTTTTTTTATAGTTTAGTGTCTTTGTAATAGGTATGGTAATTAAAATTTATGATAATAAGTTAGTGGTTTGGAAAATGTCAAAGTGTTGATGAGGATTCTTTAAAAAAATCTCATGTTTTAGGGGTGCCTGGGTGGCTCAGTCGTTAAGCGTCTGCCTTCGGCTCAGGTCATGGTCCCAGGGGCCTGGGATCGAGCCCTGCATAGGGCTCCCTGTTCAGTGGGGAGCCCGCTTCTCCCTCTCCCTCTGACTGCCGCTCCCCCTGCTTGTGCTCTCTCTCTGTCAAATAAATAAATAAAATCTTAAAAAAAAAAAATCGCATGTTTTTCAGAAATTTTATTGCAAAGGTTGTCAAGATTACAGTGTGTTCATTTTTGTAGTATTCTTTGTACCTATGTCTGTTATTCCACATTAGCCTCACAATACAATTTTCTGCTCTTTGTGTTTGTTTTCTGTGTATATGTGTTATATGTTTAAGTATTCCCTGCAGAGATGATAACATTGCTTTGATCATGCCTAATAATTAGGAAAAAAAGAGAAATCATACCATAATGAAATGCAAGACTTAGTAAGACTCACAGAAGCCTCAAATTGTGTGATTCCATTTATATGAAATGCCCCAAATAGGCAAACACATAGAGATAAAAAGTAGATTAGTGGTTGACAGAGGTTGAGGGGAGGTGGGAATGGTGAGTAACTACCAATGGGCTTGTGGTTTCTTTTTGGGATGATGAAAATATTCTAGAATTAGTTAGTGATGGTGGTTGCAAAACTTTATGAATATATTAAAAACTATTGAGTTGTACACTTTTAAAGTGCAAATTTTATGGTATGTGAATTATATTTCAATAAAAAATGTTTAGGGGTGCCTGGGTGGCTCAGTTGGTTAAGCGTCTGCCTTCGGCTCGGGTCATGATCTCAGGATTGAGCCCCGTATCAGGCTCCCTGCTCAGCAGGGAGTCTGCTTCTCCCTCTCCCTCGGCTCCTCCCCCTGTTTGTGCTGTCTCTCTCTTTCTCTCGCTCGCTCATTGTCTCTTCTCATATAAATAAAATCATTAAAAAATGTTTTAATCAAATTATACAGAAACTGATTTGTGAGGTCTTAAAACTTCATAGTATGATGCTGTACTATTTTCTGGAGTTTTTCCTGGGTGCTGTTCTGTTCATTGATGAGGTAGCTCATTTGTGTTCTGTAGTTGTATTATAAGTAAATATATCTTAAATTCCACAAATACTTGATGACCTGCTGTGTGAGTGTGTTTAATCTTAAAAATTAAAGACAATCAGGGGTGCCTGTTGCTCAGTCAGTTAAGCGTCCCAACTCTTGATTTTGGCTCAGGTCATGATCTCAGGGTTCTGAGATGGAGCCCTGCCTTGGGGTCTGTACTGGGTGTGGAGCCTGCCTAAGATTCTCTCCCTCTCCTTCTGCCCTCCACCCCCCACCCCTAAATTAAAAGACAATGAGCAGAATTATGTCTGTTATTAAAATATAGAACATACTGGGAGATACTCAGAAATCTGAAAATTGCCTTTTCAGTGCTAAAATTTGTGTGGGGTGGGCCAGTGGATAGGGAAACATGGTTTCATATCTCAAAGTGCTGTACTCTAATACTGTATTTTGTTCTCCTTGGTGTAACTTTTGTTAAATATCTTGAACTTTAAGTTTTAAAATGTTTTTTTTTTTTTGTTTTAGTATTTAGGCATTTTAAAGTTTTATAATTAATTGGGGGAGAAAATATAGCAGTATTTAAAAAGTTCAAAATAAGCCACTAAGTTTGGAGAAAAACTTATTCACAAAATGAGTGAGGATATGGGGCGCCTGGGTGGCTCAGTTGATTAAGCGACTGCCTTCGGCTCGGGATCGAGTCCCGCGTCGGGCTCCCTGCTCAGCGGGGAGCCTGCTTCTCCCTCTGACCCTCCCCCCTCTCATGTGCTCTCTGTCTCTCTCATTCTCTCTGTCTCAAATAAATAAAAAAATAAAATCTAAAAAAAAAAAAATGAGTGAGGATATGATGAAACAGTAAGTTCTTGTTTACATTATTGCTTAGCCACCTGGAGTGGAATTTTGCCAGTCCTTCAATCCAAATAAAGCAGCCAAGGTTTCCATGGTGTGGGTTTAAACTGAGCAAAGATTAGTGCCTTATTTTGAAACGTGGTTGAAAAAGTGCCAATAGTGACTGGAGAATGTTAACATAAAGTTTAGAGATTGTAATCGGTTATGCAAAAGAAATAGAAAATAATGACTAAATTTGCAAGATGTGATATACATATCTGTGTGTGTCATATACATATGTATATCTATATATCACACACACTATCTCATTTGATCCTTATGTTAATCCTGCAATGCATAACTGGAATTCTTCTTCCCATTTAACTCAGGAGGAAACAGAGCATAAGGTTGCCTAACAAATAAGGGTTAGATTTTAAACCTAAGCCGTTTAATTTCTAGATCAGTGTTCTTTTAACTGTACTGTTGAGGGATTAATTACTTCCTTTTAGAATTATTGTTTTTCTAATTATTGGGTATATAGGGGAAGGGGAAAGTGGCTTAAAAGCTATTCTGACAAATCTCAAACTCTGTCAGCCTCTAGTTCTCTTAGGTTTTTTCTCAAAAGTTTTAAGATGAGTCTTTTCTTGGGGGCGCCTGGGTGGCTCAGTCGTTAAGCGTCTGCCTTCGGCTCAGGTTGTGATCTCAGCGTCCTGGGATCGAGCCCCACATCAGGCTCCCTGCTCGGCGGGAAGCCTGCTTCTCCCTCTCCCACTCCCCCTGCTTGTGTTCC